TTTTGATGAGTACCCGTGACAGACTTAGGTTCGAATGATCAACCTAGCGATGCGTCACCTCTTTTATAGCATTAGAAATCCTAAGCTTGAAACAACAGGGGCTAATACATCTCCAATAAAACCACTACCCTCTTGTACAAGGACTCGCTTCTTTGTTTTGTAAGGGACATTTGGTCTGGCCAGGTTAAGTAAAGCATCCTTATGTGGCAGCAATATCCGCTTATTTTCTTCGGAGATAGGAATGTGTCCCATGAGTATATTGTATAAGACTTGGACTAGTGCATGTAGTTGTTGTGGAGTAGCTGTCTTTAAAAGAAACTGGCGCTGATAAAGCAGGGCAATCAGCTAACAGCTGAAGAAAACCACGATTGTTGTTCACTACACGAGACATTGCTTCAAAGTGAACTAAAGATGGCAGTTGGCAGTCTTTTATAGAATCTCGTGGAGAAAAAAAATGAAACAAGTGGGCGAAGGATAGAAAACAATAGAATGAGGAGGAGGAGGAGGAGGAAAACAATAGAAGTGAGGAGGAGGAGGAGGAAAAACAATAGAAATGAGAAGGAGGAGGAGGAGGAAAAGCAATAGAAATGAGGAGGAGGAGGAGGAGGAGGAAGAGGAAAGAAAACAATAGAAATGTGGTGGTGGTGGTAGTGGTGGTTTTGGGGGAGGAAAACAATAGAATTTTGTGGCCTGAAAACCTATATAAATGCGCAACATTCTACCTCTTTCTCAGTCTACATTTTGCTCCTGAGGAGTTGACATGAGTTGGCTCCGTTCTGTCTGCGAAAAATCCTTTAGTAGAAAAGATAATATGCAAAGGCACGTGATGTCTAAACACCACAATGCTGGTCTCACCCCATTTCAGACAGTTCCAATATTTTCACAGGAATGTCAGCGGCTTCGCTTCGAGCACCCTTTCACCTCCATGATTGCCGGAATGACCGGGTCCGGAAAAACGGCCTGGGTTCGATCGCTATTGCAACAAGCTTCAGAGACCATTTACCCTCCCCCGGAGAGGATCGTTTGGTGTTATTCAGAATGACAGCCTGCGTATACACAAATGTTAGAAGCCATGCCAAACACTGAATTCGTCAAGGGAATTCCTACGGCTTTGGAGCAGGATTCCTATTTTGATGTGAACAAACGGAATTTGATCGTGTTTGATGATCAGATGATTGACGCCAGTAAAGAGAAGCCAATTGTGAACCTCTTTACTCGTGGTTCTCATCATCGCAATCTGAGCGTGATTTATATCGTGCAGAATCTATTTCATCAGGGGAAAGGTAGCCGCAGCATAAGCCTAAACAGCCATTATCTGGTGTTATTCAAGAATCCACGAGACAAATTGCAAATCCTGACTCTGGCGAAGCAAATGTATCCCGGGCAGACTAATTTCTTTTTCAATCAGTACGAAGAGGCTGTAAAAAGACCTTTTGGTTATCTTCTGATTGATCTGAAAACTACTACCCAAGATAATTGTCGGTTGCGAACAAACGTCCTGCCTAGTGAAGAAGGCTTTAACCAAGCAGGGTTTCAAGAAAATATTCCTCAAGAGCTCTAAAATATCTAAAACTCTTTCGCCTGTCCCGCTTCTTCCAGCTATGCAAGAAATACAAGGCAACATGGATGACGTGCTTTCTCGATGAAAAAGCTAAACGATACCTTCAGTTGCAAAACAGATACCTGGCTTTTAAAGAACAATTAAATACAAGAACACGACCGGAAGAAATAATCAGCCCTGTTCCAGACTCAACATCAAGGACACAAGATTTTTCGACAGCAACGACAGCATTCTCGACTCCCCTCAACCCCTTTAATGTAACACCTTAATTAACAGAAGCGGCTATCTCTCAAAAACCTGACAAAGAAAGCCTCACCCCTCCACCACCCTTAAATCCTACTTTCCTGACCCCTCCTCCCACAGTTGAAAGCCCATCACAACATGGCCCGAAGCGCAAAAGGTGTCGGATTCAACGGAGAAAACAGTTCTGTAATAGTCAGACAAACTTGAAATAAATCGCTTTCAGCTCCAATTTGTGTATGTTTTGTTTATATATATCCGAGTTTTAGCGCTAAATAAGATATACGAAGCCGTTTCTCGCGTTGCTAGGTGATCGCTCTTATTTTCCTTTTAATAGACGGTCCGAAAACCGGGCCCAAGTTACTTACCAGGCAAGTCTAGGCAAGCCTATTGTTCCTATTGTAGTAGAGTGACGCTCATTAGTAAACCTATCCACTTCATTATATTTGGAGGAAGACACTTAATTAGTACGCAGGAAATCCAAATTAGTATGCAGGGAGACACTAATACATATTAAAAAAGGGAATCCACTTTTTCCCCAGGTTATAACAATGGGTAACGTCATTGACCAGACCTAGCTAGACCTTGCTAGACACCAACGGGGTTAAGTTTGACCCTAGTAGACTACTGGTTATTGATCTGATTGGTCAATTACGTCGCGATGTTATTGGTCGTCTGTCAGTTAAGCGGTGATGTTATTGGTTATAAAGACTCGTAATCAGTAATTGGTGTGTTTCGATCCGTCTTTTGTCTGTCAGTTCTCCAGTCGTTCTCTCGTAGTCAGTTTTGCTTGATCTCGTCAATAAGTCGTTTGTACGGCGCTGGTAACTGTTGGCTACGATTCAGTGGCGTTTGTTCTAAGTTAGTAAACCAGCTTTCTAAAGTAAGACGTTGATTGTAGTCTGTAGAATACGTTATACAAATCGCAGAGTCCCAGTCAATTTGATGTTTCGTCTTTAAATGGTGCTCAGCAATGTGATTGTTGACGTCACCATTCCTTGTCGCTTGTTTGTGTTCGGTCAGTCGCGTGCTTAGGTTTCTGCCGGTTTCACCAATGTAAGAAGTCAGGCAATCGCAGCATTTGATCTTGTATACTGCTCCCTGTCTGTCCTTCGGTTTGTCTTTGTCCTTGACATTAGTAAGCAGTCGCCGTAAAGTGGTTATCGGTTTGTGTGCAACACGTATATTGTAAGGCTGTAATATACGTGCAATAGTTTCAGAGGTGCCTCTGATGTACGGTATAGTCGCTGTCGTAACAGGGCCAGAGTTGGTCTGAGTGTTGGAATCAGTGTTACTGTGAGTGTTCCGTCTGACAAAGTCCGTATTGTAATTGTTCTTACTAAAAACGTTGTTAAGATAATCAGTCTCGTCTTGTAGCCTGTCAGGTGAGTCGCAACCTACAATCAGGGACAAAAGTAGTTGACACACTTGTTTAAAACGGGTGCTTTTAGCAAACATTTAATTCATCTATTATTTCATTCTTTTTAAACGCCGTAAATCCCCTCACCCCCCGAATCAATGTTGTCTGAAGTAAAAAAAAGACTTGAGGGTCCAAAATTCAACATTGATTTTGGGGGGGAAGGGGTTGGGGTAGACAGGGGAATGGGATAAGTATATCCACTATGCAAAAAGGGGCCATTTTACGGAAGTGTGCCAACACTTTTGTCCCTCATTGTCTGAATGCAAAATTGTGCTACTGCACACAAGTTGAGCCGTGCATGACACTGATTTTAACTGAAATTAAAGAAATCAAAGACATAATTATGTTATTGGTGGTGGGGGTGACATTGACTTATTCACGACCGAATTATAGGGCCAATTGGAATTACGTGATGACGTAATAAAAGGGCTGCGATATCCAGAATTAACGTCGATATGGTTTACAAGCTAAAAACTAACGCTGAAACTCGCGCACATGTACAACTTTTGATGAATTTCAAGGGTACGCGTACTGAAAATGTTTTTAATAAAGTGAATATTTCTCGTTCTTCACTTTATCCGATGGTTAAGGCGCAAACAATCACGGGTAGGGTAAGGATTGACACGTAGTGGGGATAGTCACTGGCCGGCCACGGAAATATGGAGCGTTAGTGCGGAGCGGCCGTCACTGCGTTCAATATCGAAACTACGGAAAAGTGAAGGTAAATTCATGGCCAATTCAATAAAAAACTAAGGACAGCGTAGCAAACATTGCAAGTGTCCACGAAAACAATTACTTTCAATCCCACCTCGTGACACCATGAGTGACATGATAACGCAACGCAAATAGCGTGACATGAGCGCATATGTCTGTGTATTTGGACTGTATTTCTCAAGCGAAACCCTGTGTTTTTGTCTATTGTCGGCAGAGAAAATGAAAAGAGAGCTTTGAAACGTGAACTGGTATTTGACTCTCAAAGAAAACGACAGCTCAAACTGAGGAAAACACTGCTTCCTTCGTGTTACAACGGTTAACCACGTTTCGGAAAACGAAAAGTAAAATGAGTCTGTTATGACCTCTTAATGTCCATATGTATTCTCGTGGTTAACCGTTGAAACTCCTTATTTGCACCACATCGCTGGAATTTTTCTTGCCAAGAATACGTATTGCGAAGTACTTTCTACATAGCGGAATCTTCTTTTGCCTTTCGTGAGGAATTAGCGCATAAAAAAGGAAAATTTTCCAGCGCACGGCCGTCATTGATCACATGTTATCCCGCTTTCCTTGTCATCAAGTGAACTTCTGGGCAAAAGTAATTGCTGTTTTGGCGATGACGCAAACTGGTGTGTCTATCTTGAAAACAATTTCTTTGGTATTCTGTGATTTACGAGCTGGGAAATGAAATAGTTGTCCATCCAACATCAATAAAAAAATTATGCCACTGAATAAATGGCAGGCGGTCATCTAAAATCATTACAAAAGTACATTCCAAAACCTGGTCTAACCTGTTCGACGCCTACCTACGCTAAAGGTTTGGATCACTTAGGTTTGAAAAGGTCTCCAAAAAAAACACACATCTATATATAGGACATAGCACAAACGGCTGGCCCATCATTTATGAGGTTCATAACCTGTATATTGTTCACGTCCTTTCACTAATGGCACAAGTCAATGTCAAAAATAATGCATGTCCCCTCAGTTACTCTGCAGTACTTCATTCGCTTAAGTTAATCATTTACCAGAACAATTTCCATTGCACCTTAGTGTTTCCATCCTTTT